AATGTGAACATGTTTGAACAACGTTACAAAGTTTAAGTGAATGTACTTCTTTGTTTCTGTGAACCTGAACCATCAGTTACTTATTGCCACAAAATTTCTACAGACCCGCAATGGAACAAAGGAACAGCCTGGTCCCTCTGCTTTAATAATGGTAGCATTGAAGCAATGGCGTAGTAGCATCAAAGGAGAGAATATGGGAAAGGTGTGTGAAGGCATTCATGTATGCAAACGTATGAGAAAGAAAAGAACAGGAACTAGTAAGAAGGGCCCAATATTTAAAAGGAGAAGGCAGGAACTGGTAGTCCCATCCACACAGGGGCCAGGCAGCAAGGCTTGCCTTCCCTGCTTAGCTGGAAAGAGCAAGAAATAGTGGAATGACCAATCAGATCCTGTGGTAGCAGCATACCTCTGCATTCTAGACTAGAATTTTTAAAGTCAGCTTTCAGGAACAGCTGGGAGAAGCATGGGAGACAAGCAGTGTAGGCTACCAGGTAGAATTGCCCCTAAAAGGGAATGAGTAGCCAGTACAATTCCTTCAGAATGGATATGTGATTCCATTTGGCTGTACTATTTATAGTACTGGCTGTTGTATTCTGAACTAGCTGAAAATCACAAATAATCTTTAAGGCTTTCTCCATATACTGCTTGTTACACTAATCTGGTTGGAAAGTTACCAGAGTATAAACTACCATGGCCAGATGTGGCCTAAAAGTATTGATTATCAAAAAGGTTTTAGTATTAAGGAATGTTTTATTACTGTAATGAAAACTCAGAGGATGATATCAGAATGGAGATATAATAAAACATTGTAAAAGCAGATGATTTCATTACCACCATGTTGCTGTGGTCTGAATTAATCTAGTCAGTCAGATTTCAAAAAATGAAAATATATAATCTGCTAACTAAAGGCATCTGCTGCAATGGCATAACCTTTTGCAGACTAAATTCCACAATCAATCATTTATAAGACAAGTTAGTGCCCTTCAAATGTTTTTGAATGGAGTTCTCATATTTCCTTGACTTTGGCTGTTTGGGCTGAGATTGATGCCTTGCAGCCCCAAGTATTTGCAAGAGCATTAGCTTGCTTATTTTGATTTTAAGGAATCACAAGGCATTCTGCCTCTATTAGCCATATATCCTTCTCTATTAAGTCTTCCTCAGGAAATTATTCTCTAATGTTGTGCAATTATACTCCATTAGCATATTGATCTTTTCCTTTGGGGCACCAACTTCATACTCACTTATCTTCCTCTTTAAGACTTAAGACCAAATCCAGTACTATTCCACGTGCAGAGTGAAGCACCCAGACTGCTATTTCCATCATTCCCTTGTTCAGCAATTTTGGGGAAGGTATAATCCACATTTTGGGAAGCTATATATATTAATAGTTTTTATGTGTATTGATCAGATATTCCCTGGACTCTCTACTTTTCTTTTTCTGTCTAACATCTGAGGAACGTTTAATCAACAGATTGTTATTTCTTTACATATGGTTTTCTAACTAAGTTTACTTTTTTATCGTTATAGTTCATCATTCCTTCTGAAAGGAAGCAAAAACATAGAGATGATCCATATGCAATTTCCATTCAAAGTTCTGAAATGATTGCTACAAATGCTAGACACTCAGCAAACTGTAGACACTCTGATTTGGAAGCAGCATTCCAAAACTTCAAAGACTCTACATTTTTCAGTAGAACTTTCACAGACTTTCCCAAATCTCCTGACTGTTTTAATCTTTTGCATCCCATTTTCCAGCGACATGCTCATGAACAAGATACAAAACTTCATGATATCTATAAAGGTATCATTACTCCCCAACTGAATAAATGTGCACTTAAAACTTCAGCTGCTTCAGATGTTTGGGCGGTGCATTTTTCCCAATTTTGGATAGACTACGAAGGAATGAAGAGTGGGAAAGGACGGCCAATAAGCTTTGTGGATTCATTCCCTCTTACACTCTGGATTTGTCAACCCATGAGATGCGAACAGTCACACAAAGAGCCTTTTTGTAATGATGAATCTCTCAATTTTCTCAAAAGTGATTCTTGTGACCTCGCTAATAGGCTGCAGCATAAAAAACGTCTGAAAGAGTATTATAGCACTGGGATGGAAGCCTTCACCAATGGTACTGAAAATTTGTCCTCCACTAAAAGCACTTCAGGATCTCAGTCTGCATATTTTGCAGATATTCATGTTTTACTTCATATTCAAAAACATGTAAGCATGCAGATCAATCATTACCAGTATCTTTTCTTACTGTACCTCCAGGAATCTCTTGTGTTACTCCTGGACAACTTGAGGAAGGATGTAGAGACTGTGACAGGGAATCCAGCAAAAGAGGCAAATGTCTGTATTGGGATCTTATTGAAAAGTGCTGACATAGCTTTGTTGCTTCAACCACTACTGCAAGGAAGCATCTGCAAGCCTCCCATTTTAGAACAAGGAGGTCCAATGACATCAGATCTCTCACCCATGGAAAACAGAGAAGATTATGAATCTGAAAGCAAGCTAGTTTCTACTTCTGTTACACAGATGAGCAATTCAGATATTAATGTTGTAACCAACTGTGGATCTTCAAATGCTGATCTTAACAAAGCCATTCTGGTGAATCCGATTTTAAAATCAAATAGTGATGTGGATTTACCAAGCAAAAGTTCATTTTTGGATGATGCATCAGAAAAACTTTGGAGGAAAATGAATGAAGAAAATAACAGTGGGCTTTTCAGTCGTAGTGATTCAGAAGAAATTTGTGAGTCATTAAGTGACAATTCCTATACTAAGGAATTGGTTAATATGTCAAATTGCAGAGAAGACTCTATCAAAATGCTGATGGACAAGGAAGAAGAGAAAAGTGGTTTCTCAAATAACAAAAGTAAAGCAGAATGCTCAGCTGTTAAAATTATAGAAATTGAAACTGATTCTGTGGGGCAGTCTGAGAAGTTTGAAAATGACAAAGAAAAATTGAGCACAGCAAAAATGCTTACATTTCAGTCTCCATTAAGGTACAGAAAATATTAAAGTCTACAAATGAATGCGGTTTAGATCCAGGGGTTAGGGTTAGTTGAGTAAAATTAGAGGGATTACAGGTGTTCTGAGTCTTTAGGCCACTTGTTGATATTAGGAAGCTGGAAATTGGCTTTCTGTCATAATTTTAATGAGTATTCTAGTGTATTGTATCGAGACCCAGCTTAGTCTAGTGGTTGAGGCACTAGGCTAGAAACCAGGAGACTCTGAGTTGTAGTCCCACCTTAAGTATGAAAGATGGCTAGGTGACTTTGGGCCAGCCACTCTCTCTCAGCCCATGATGTTAGGCTCAGGAGACAAGCCAGTTGATAAATTCCTGTTGCAACCAACGGATCAACATTTGGTTGATGGGAAAAATGGACCCTGCACCTGTGAGAAAATGCTGGGAAGAAAAAAAAATCTAGTGTATTATATTGTAATTGTTGTCTAGTCATACCTCACCAGGTTAATCATTTAAACCCTGTTTGCCATACATTTTTTTTTTGGCAGCAGCTAGCATATCTATAGGAACACTCCATGTAGTTCTGAATATACAATATACTAGAATAATAATCAATGTGCAGTTGGAGCTGGAGAAAAGTTCCTAGTGATTGGAATGAATTAGAAGGCATCATTATTTTCTCATACTCCCACTTACTATATTTATACGTTGCAAATTCATTTACAAAATGGTGGTGGTTGTGGACATGGATTTATTTTTATTTTATATATCACATTTATATAGCCTAGAATACTTGCTTTAGGAAGTTTATGAAAAATGCAGTTGCCCAGTGAAGGATTTTCCACTTATCTGGGCTTACTTGGCAGCTTAAAAAAAATCACAAACAAATCTATCATCCTTTACTATTCACGCAGAACGTGATTCTACCCAGTTACAGGAGCATAATCTGAAGTCAGACCTGAATACCTTACTGGGTATAATTACTACTTATGATTTCAGAATATTTTATATGTTCATCAACGTTTGTTTTAATTATAGACTTTAAAGGATTTTTATTTTACTTTGTAACTTTTTTCTACCTTAAGTAATTATTTCCTAATATCTTTATATTAAAAAGTGGAAAGCCTAAGGAATCGTGCCAGTCCAATCTCCCTGCATTCTCTGTTTCTTATAAGAACATGAAGAAAAGTCCATCACAAGCCTCTTTGGATACCATTTCTACTGACAGCATCTTGTTCGAAGAACACTATTTGGAAAGTGATGGAAGTGACAGCCAAAGCTTTTTGGAGAAAGGTATACAAATGCACTGACACACTTTTTAATATAAACAATACTATCTCTTTTTTTGACTTCATCAGTACAAGAACTAACTTTAGTTTATGTTTTAAAAATATTTTATACATTTCAGGTGTACCTTTTTTGGCCTACATTGGAGGAATTACCATAATTGGAAAACATAAGATATTGATGGCCATTTCATTTGTATGATTGGTTTAATATATTGCCAGAGAGTGTCAGTTTCAGA